ATCGGCCACCGGCCCCGCGCGGCCTTCTGGCGCGGCAGATTAGAGCCGCCTTCGCGGAAGGCGCCCCGGCCCCGTGCAGCTCTGCACCCCCAGCAGGAGAGTGACTGCCTACAGCCCCTGAGAAACCTCACCCCTGGTAGCCTGGCCAACGAGCCGGTCTAACCCGCACCCTCACTGAACTTCCCAAATGTCCTCCAGCTGCAGGGAAGTCGACATTTGTCAAGCTACTAGAGAAACACAGCGATGAGTGGGAGATCATCCCTGAGCCCATCGCCAAGTGGTGCAACATCCAGACAGCCGAGGATGATGAGTACGAGGTAGGTGTGATGGATTTGGGTAACAATAATTGTGATGACTGCTCAGGAAGCCATCCCAAAACTCAGCTATACTGAGTCTAACCATCCAGTCATCTCACTGTTTATCATACCAGTTGTTCAAACACTCAGACATTTTGGAAGCTACTTAGGAAGATACTACCGAATGCATATTCCAAGTAACTCCTACTCCACAAGAATCAAGATTCTGAAACATGGTGATCAACTTATTCTAAAAAAAGCTGGCATAAAGACTATTACCAACCAAGAAATCATTTTTTCCTAAAAAAATATGTACAAGGCCATGAATTCTTAGTTCAAACAATTTAACTTAATCCAGAATTCTGGATTAAGAAAACACCAGCATATTTACAGGGCTTTGTCTCTAAGTTGTCCTCTCTTGTCCCCTAGGAACTGTCCACATCTCAGAAGAGTGGAGGAAATCTACTTCAAATGCTGTATGATAAACCCACACGATGGGCTTACACATTTCAGACTTACGCTTGCTTAAGTCGAGTAAGAGCACAATTAAAACCCATCTCAGCCAAGCTACGTGAAGCAGAACATCCAGTGCAATTCTTTGAGAGATCTGTGTACAGTGACAGGTAATTACTCCCACAGTGCAACAAGAGTTCAGATTAAAAGCTCCAGCTCTTTCTACTTAAAAGACATGCAGCTAGACAAAACATTTGGTATTCAACTAGTACCTGCAAGGAGCAGGTTTGATTCAATTGGTGGGAGCTGGATGGTATTAAGAGTGGGTTCTACACTTCAGGAGCAAGCAAGTATTTTTTCAGTCCCATGATTCTGATTCTAATGAAAGGTTTTAACAGTTTGCTTTGGTCATTCCTGGCATGCAACCCGTCTCTTTTACAGATACGTATTTGCTTCTAACCTGTTTGAGTCTGGAAATATAAATGAAACCGAGTGGGCTGTTTATCAGGACTGGCACACCTGGCTTCTGAACCAGTTTGAGTCGGACATAGAACTGGATGGCATGATCTACCTAAGAACCACACCTCAGGTATGGTCACAGTTCTCAGCTCCAACATTTGTTTCCAGGAGCTTAAGAGGGTACAAAGCCCTAAGTATTCATGAGGCAATACTACAGCAACTAAAACCTAATTAGCTCTCCCTCAGTGTAATGGGAAGCCAGTAATAATTCAGATTTCATTCAGAGACCTAAGTAAAACCCTGTTCTGTGATGCTATTCTGATGCCAGGAAATGCTCCAATTGCTAGCACCCACCATTTTCAGTAAGGACCCAAAGCTGAAACTGAAGTTCTGAGTAAAGTCTGACTTCCCATACAATACAAAGTTGAAATTTAGCTAAAGTTGCTAAAGTTTGTTTTTTTAAAAGAGAAGCTTTTCTAGATTATTTTCAGCCAAGCATTTAAAATTAATGCTTACTAATGTTTACTACTAGTCCTTCCAATTTAAGGACCAGCTGATCTGTTTAGCTGATTTTGCTGTCACCACATGATTAACATCCAGACTTGTACCTTTTTTTTCCCTTTCAGAAATGCATGGAAAGGCTACAGACAAGGGGAAGAGAAGAAGAGCAAGGAATTGAGCTTGAGTATTTGGAAAACCTCCACTATAAACATGAAACCTGGCTCCATGAAAGGACTATGAGGTATAAACTCATTTTCTGTAGAAAGTTTCAGCTTACAGGCAAGACTCCTTCCTACCTTATGCTGAAGTTGGGTTAGGTTAAAAGTAAGGTTTAAGTCTAGCCTTACTCAGGCACAGCTGGAAGGACTTATCTCTAGGCCCACTCCAGGTTTCTTGGCACAAATAAGATTTCTCTAGGTTATACGCAGAGGGAAGGTAGTTTCTTGGCAGGGAAGTGAAAATTGCCAAGAGATCGGAATTCATCTAATTTAAAGCCTTTAAGAGTTAGCTTCAAATAGAAAGCTACGTAGTTCTAACTCCAGCAGAGTTTTGTTAACTGGAGATAGACATAAATAGGACAGAACTGAGACTGTGTTCAGCAGTGCGTTCCTTAAGTTATCTACTCAACAGCTTCCAGTGCCACTGTAAGGGAGGGCAAGGTCCCAACTACCTTTAACCTAGGATGACTATTTTAACAAGGTTTAAATATTAATCCTAGCTTCAAAATAATTATCAGAAAGGCTTTTGGCAGGTAGTTACAAGAAACCCAGCCAGCAACTAAGCAAGCTCTGTATACCTTCCCCACAGCTTCCTTACTGACTCTTACTAGTCTCCCCATCAAAGGGATCTCTAAATGAGAAAGCAGATTTTAGATTTTCCCCCAGAGGAGCCTGAAGTACTCTGAATGGGAAGCACAACAATTCCAGGAAAGTACATTATCAGGCACATCTACTTCCCTAAGTTTCATGTAGGATAACTCAAACACTTCGGAGACAAGGCACTGTGTATTGTGGAATTTTGGGATTGTTTACATTGCGTACTCATTCCAGACTTATGAGCAAGCATTTCCTGCATTTTCCATAGGAACACTTAAGTCTGCAAAGGCAAGAATGTTGCTCAGCACACATTCTGCATTTTACAAAGTATTTTTCACACATAGGAAGCAGGAATAACTAGTGCTTTAGGACAACACATCCAGTTGCACAACTAGTGCTCCCATCTGCTCCTAACCTGCAACCAAAATGGTCTTGCTTATCTCCAAGCCATTTTAAATACTAGTCTTATAACCTGTTAAAGAGGTCATCCCCAGCCCAGGAAGCTTTAAAACTGCATCTTAGTAAAGGGATTAGTAGTTAACTAGAAAGGAGTGGGGGAGACACAGCCAAGTGATTATTTTAAAAAATACTTCCTTATCAATCACACTTTTTATAATTGTTGATTGCATAACAAATATGAGGTAAAGGAAATTAAGGTGGGAAGCATATATTTTCCTTCCCTACTCATACAATAAAAATAGATCTTCAAAGGCCAGATTGGTGAAATACATTAATGTTGACTTGGTTATACAAGAGCAATTAAGGACAGACCTGACTTGGGCTTTATACTTAAGTTGTGAGCATCAACATCTCAGGTGTAAATGGCAATCTGAGTAATGTTCATGACTTGGAAAGCAACTAAAAGCTAGATTCTTTCATATGCAGTACTTTATGCCATTTTTACTAGTATTATGTTCTTCCATTTAACAGAGTCGATTTTGAGAACCTTAAAGAGATTCCCGTTCTAGTTTTGGATGTTAATGAAGATTTCAAGAATGACAAGATTAAGCAGGAGTACTTGATTGATAAAGTAAGTATTAAATAATGTTTCCCCTTATCTGCTTTTCTTCTGCAGCAGCAACGCTAAGTTATCAATTTAATTTACAACCTTAAAATTTTTGATGATGAAGCTTGTTTGAGGCTACTACAGATCAGTCTCTTTCATAGACTTAGGAAGCTACATGACTGCAGAAAAGGCTTTCTGCTTCCTTTAAAAAAAATTAACCCCATCTCTTTCACAATTCAAGGGAAAACTGAGTGTTTTTAAAAGGGGGGCAGTTGTGAAGGATGCTAGTATACAGCAGTGGGAGTACTCTCTGCCAGGTCTGCCCTGCCATACTGTGCATTATGGAGCTCACAGAACAATATTCTCTAGTTCGTGTCAGCCATGATGTCCTTAGAAAAATCCTGCAGTCAGCCTAGAGCTATTTATGCCCCCTCACATGCTAGGGATGATCCAGGCTCCTCCTGGACCAAGCACAACACATCTGACACGTGCAGAGACAACTGAACCTTATACACAGTTCCAAATGCATGAACTGATACTTGTGCATTGGGAGGGTCAACGGCCATTTGAGGAAACAAGGTGGCAATAGGTCACTTGAGTCCAAATGGTGCCTGCCAATTCCAAGGAAAGGCAAGATGTAGGAAGTAAATGCTCAAAGAAACTGGGGAAAGCTGAAGCCATGTGCTTTTTGTCCAGTACAGAGGAAAAAATAAAACAAAACCCTCAAAACACTTGAGGGGCATGGGGCTCAGCACCAGCTCTCCAGGCAGAGATGTTACATTACGTATTTCACTCACCAGGACAGTTAAACCTTCCTCTTCTCCACCACAGCAAGACTATTTGCCATCTTTCTTTTAACTTGCCCCACTGAAAGGCCCCCAGTGTTGTCCCCACCACCAGCATCTGAAGGTGAGCTCTACTTTCCAGCTTTGGGTACTGACTACAGCCCCATGCTGGAAGTGCTACCAGATCCGTGACTATTTTCAGACAACCCCTCTGTTCCTAGCAAAGAGCTACCTAATGAAGGAGAAGTCATTTTTTCTTTAATGAAGTAGCTTTTGTAAGTACTTTCTCTTTTTGAGTAATTAATTCCACCCAGTTCACAGCCATCTACTATCCTGAAAAGTGTTCCAGGTCATGAATTGTATGCAGAGGCAGAACAGCACTGGAGACTGTACAATAATAAACCACTTGATCTCCAAGAAATAAAAGTGTAAAGCCTAAAGATTTAGATTGGGTTTTTTAATACAAATAAATATGCTTTTTGTTTTCACAGGTCAAGTCTTTCCTGACTTAAGAACATGAAAATTAACGTGAATGACAAATCCCTGAAGTTCAAGGGTTAAAGCTAACAACCAGTGTGTTCTTAGAGTGATTACCTATACAAGCTTATTTTAAGGCAAGACTGAATTGCAAAATATGGTTTGGTTTTTTTCCTTGTTTGACCTGTGTGGATTGATAACTTTCTGAAACAAACCTAGGGTGCTTTGATAATGTTCTTTATGTATATTCTCTGTTGGTTTAATAAAGACTTTAAAAAAAGAATATTGACTAATAACTGGTTTTAGCAAGAAGAGTTAACTGGTTATCAACAGCTGACAAGCTGGTAGCCAGCGATAGCGAACACTGAGGACGGGTTGTTTTGCAATAGCTGCCGTAGTTCACCATTTTAAGACAAGACTGTTATGGCGTCCAGGAACCTTTCAAGTTCTGCTTTATTGAATGGCTGCTTTCACAGCGCTTACGCTACTACAGGCTGGACACTACTGCAGTCGCAAGGGTTACACCTGCAATAAACTGATTTATGCGGATCTTGTTTACGACTTTCCCCGAGGAAGCGAATCCCCTCCGGGCCCCGCTCCCAGCCGGGTAACGGCGCAGAGGGAGCGGTTGGCCGCGGCCGG